TCCTATGTTTTTAAGCCACCCTTCACGCATAATGGCATTATTCGGCAACTTGTGGAAGCTTACTTCCTCCGGAGTACACGTTATGTTGGTGTTCTTACACGCTTTAACAATACACCTCACCATTTTACTTCAAATTTTCACTTTAATTTCAAAATAACAGGCCTGCACGTTTCTTTCAGGAGACGGCTAAAGACAGACTGAGATAGATGCTCCACGGCGCATGCATAAAAGAGACACTACTAGTTCAGTACTGCCAACCTTTCTAAGTTGCCCGCCCTATGTTTTTCGGTGACAACCGCGTTGAAAAGGGGCGTAGTTTACGAGTTCTGAGCACACCATGTATACTTCCACCATGGTGGATCCGCGGAAACTTCCCATCGGCACTTGTGTGGTGACCGCAAAGCGCGAAGGACGCAGGATCTCTCGGGAATAATAATCCGGCTAACGAAGTAACGAGAGAGGCGGCTGACGGACCAGGGGCTTACGAGAGCTTAGGACAGCGAGGAATCGTGCGGGTGAGGCGGGCGTCATCATATCAATATTAATATTATAAAGCCACCGATCGCGAAAGATTTTGTAGGCGTCTCGAGCGGATCGCGCGTTAAGATCTAAGCGGAATTTAGAATGGCCGACGTCGTACCGACCTATTGCCACGAGCACGTGCTCTTTATCCTATCGATCACGTGCCGTCCGCTCTGATGCAAGCTTTAGTAGATTCGGAATTACCGTTGTAACTTGCCCGGTCACTGCCAAGTCATTAGAATTAAGTTGTGCATGTTGAGAATCCGGTATATCTGAGACTGAAGTAGAATTGCGTTGCCGAATTAAAATGATCGGCTGTCGAGTCACGTTTCTTTTCCCTATATTGTATTGAAGTCATGAGTTCTGCGCGGAGCTATTGGATACAGTCTCAGTTCTTATTGTAAGAATTTGAAAAGAATGTTGTATTAAGAGACAGTCGTAGAAAATCTGTTGAGAAGTATCACACTTCCCGGTGTCCTTCTTTATGTACTCGAACGACCTACTAAATACACTGAAAACTCATTATTATTATTATTATTAATCTTTGTCTAATTATTTCAGCATATCTCTCTCTATCGTTCTCCGATACTTTTCCCGCATTCCGCGGACCACTCCCCTCTGCCAATTTCGTGGGCTGAGTTATCCACTGTCGCCCGTCGCGCGAATTCTCTTATGTTCCAATTTTCTATTGTCCGAGCGAGGTAAATAACCATTGTGCGAAGAGTGGCACGCTCTTTCTCGTGCCTAGCGCCCAACAATTAAACGGACAAATAAAATCTGTGCCGCAGAACTTAGGCTGTTGAAATCACGGCCGGTATAAAGATTTAATGATTATAACGAACCGCACTGTTGCTCCGTAGAGTATCTTGGCGATTACGCAGAGCTATCGTATAAATGAAGTTAGAGAACGCGGCGAAGTTGTGACGTTGCTCGCGAGTACGGTCACAGTACATATACTTTCTATATGTGTGTATATATGTGTGTGTATGTGTGGGGGAGGGGAATAAGTACGTGCGTGCATATAATATATAATATTGACGTGAATGTTCAACCATTTTCCATAAATGGTGTCGAGATGGATTCGATCTGTTTTGTCTGATTACACTGTGCGACCACAAAAATTTTCCAAAGGGCGCGTGGGTTTGGTTATGTCGGGGGCACGGCCCACTACCATTTCCCCAATGGATTTGGCAAAGTTAGATCGTACAAAAATGGAGAATCAGTTTATAGTTATTTATAGTTAGAATTTTGAGGAATACAGGTAGCGCGATTTGTGGTCAAATATATATGATAACAAATATACGCGCATGTTAATATTTTTTATGTCACGCGAACCGCGTGACATAAAATATTATGTGTAACTAGTGGGGGTATAGTGTTTATAGCGCGGGACGGGCGCCAATAACGCACTCGCTTCGCTCGTGCTTTCGCGCCCTTCGCGCCATAACACTAGCCCCCACGCGTTACACAATGTACTATTTCATTACGCGTGCACGTAATGTGCCCTATACCTTAACGCTTATGCATGCGGTAAATAGCCACTACCTCAAGCCGTTGAGTTATTTCTCTAATCCCACTCTTCTGCGCAAAAACGTTGCTGTATAGGGTATATTACGACGAGCACTTGTAATGAAAAATTCTATGTGTAGCGAGTGGGGGCATATTTGTTTATAGGTCGGAACGGGCGCTCGTACGCACTCGCTTCGCTCGTGCCCGGCCGCGCAATAAACAAATATCCTCCACTGTTACACTATGTACTATTAAATTTATTCAGCAATTGACCAGTAAAAATCAGAAATCATGGAAAGTAGAGATTTTCCTTTGTATCCACATTCCATCTGCATGATTTGTTGATGAAATTTTTCACCTTATTCTGACTCTGTAGCAAGCTGCTTTTCAAAGAATTGAAGGTGGTGATGTAAAAAATGGATATTCAATGACATATGAACGCCGATATTCTTAAAAGCGGTCATCATATCATCTACTGATATACTGTAGTTTTCAACTTGATGTTTCCCGAGAAAATTTGAAATCACATTTGAAATCTTTTTTAAGACGTCTTTCGGATTGTCTGTTAGACATTCATGTTCACTGGGTACATTTTCCTCGCACACTTCGATCCATTTTGCAGCAATTTCAGGGTTTTTAGGAAATCTGAAATATTTTATTTCCTCTCTTTTCATTCTTACCGTTTTTCGATAATAATTATTGCAGACTTTTACTGCACAAACAGCCATTATTTTTAATAAAAACTCTTGCTTACTTTACCGCTTTAACGAATATCATAAATACGGCAGTCCATATTTCATTGGCACTCAGAGTCCGAAAGTAGCCGAATGTGACGTAAACTGAGTGATACGCAAAGGCTTTCTAAATTCGTCCTCCGGATGAGCATACCCTTGTGTTTATACCATGGGTTGGGTTAGGTAACCACCGCCATTTTAATTCAATATAAGTGCTCTTGACCAATAAGCTGATGACAGTTGATGCAAAAGGTAGAAAGATTAGATTAGGTTAGGTTAAGTCCGATATTAAATATTCACACAAATAAGAATACTTACACCATAATAATAGTTTTTTATTGCACTTCGACACTGTATTGTCTAAATTTTTCTCTCTATATATATATATGTACATACGTTATATATTATACAAAACTATATCTTTAGACAGCCAATCAATCCATACCCTTGAATGACGCATCTCTGTTTTCTAGGTCTCTAGGTATAGTGTCTCTGTAAACATATATGTAATACTCCTATATTGCTAGTGCCCTATCTTGACAATGAGTTGAAGTGGTGCCAATATCACGGAGCCGACATATATTCACGTCTCTCTCTTCTGATGTACTGCAGTGTTCTGCGCATGCGGTAACGAGTCGTTGCTCCGCCTCCTCTTTCAGCGCGCTATATATTCTTGGTTTAACGATAAAGATATAATAGCAGGAGTATTTTATTCTTTACGTCCATGTACACCTACTAAAATTTATATTCCGTTATTATTTTTGTTATTCCTGTCGTGATTCTGTCCGTGACTGTCAAGTTCGTAGAGTGTAAACGCACATGTTTTAGTTTTATTCATAACACTTGTATGTTCGATGAAGTACAGGTTAACACATTTTTAACCTACGTACATACATACCTTTATCTTTTCTGTTATACTTCCACTTGATAAGTTATTTCCTAATATTGCTTAATATTTGTCACAAAACCATTCACTTAAATAATCTTTCACATAAATAACCTGAATAACATTTTTGGTAAACGGTATGTACGAGTATATACCATATATACACACATTTATTTTTTCGGAGATACGATTCTATTGGTCGTTTCAGAAAAATCTAACGCATGCGCGCAAGACTGTCGTACATCTGTAGAAAGAGAAGGTATTATATGTCTGCACCGTGATGATGGCATCGCCGTCGGACCTCTACTAGCAATATAGAAGTATTACATATATGTCGGTAAATAAATAACATAACCAAATGCTGCAAAAAGAAAATAATTATATAGAAAATAATTCGTATTCTTACAGCGGAATTACAGCAAAGAATTTGTGTAATAAAGCAGAAAATATCTAACCTCACTTACGTGTTCGTCTATTCTATGCCATCGATGTAACAGATTTCCTAACCTTAATCCTTTGTTATTGCTGAGACTCTTTATCCGACTTAACGATCGTACAGATCGCAGAGATCGATATTTATTCTAACCTCACTTACGTGTTTGTCTATGCTATCGATGTGACTGATTTCCTAACCTCAATCCTTTGTTATTGCCGAGACTCTTAATAATTCGACTTTAACGATCGTACAGGTCGCAGCGATCGATATTATAGATTTATAGATACCCGTCGTGACCACATTTATCTCTTGCGCCAAAAATTCCAAAATGCATTTCCTCACTCGCGTAGCTGACACCAATGACGACGATGACGACGACGACAATGACATTTCTTACAAACAAACCCATTTCCTCGACGGTGAACACCTAGACACGTAGTTCCTCGAAGGCGAACACCTAGACATCTATTTCGTCGACAGCGAACACCTAGACACTCACTTCCTCGAAGACAAATACGAAGACACCCACTTCCTCGAAGGCGAACACCTAGACACTTACTTCCTCGAAATCAAACACGTAGACACTTATATTTCCTCGACGACGAACATATCTCTATATTTCAATTTTAATATATATATATATTATTAATAAATATTTTATATTGTATTGGAATAATATTTTATTTTCAATTATAAGATTAAAACCGCGCGCGCGTCATATGTGATCTTCTTCTTCTTCTAAATTTAAATGGCCCAGGTTCCGGAGTGACCGGATAAACGTGGTGGCCAGTCGTTTCCAAGACACCACCAACTCTCCACAGGAGGTCCCCAAAAAAGGAAAAGTATGATTTCTTGAGAGACTAAAGAGACTCCTAAAACACACGCGGAAAAATTGCCTCGCGCCGCACGCGGCCCCCAGCGAATCTCCACGGCACTTAAGCGCAGAAAGACACGGGGGGGGATATACCAAGAGGGATGGGAGAAAGGGAGAGAAAGAGACTCTCCCCGACCCCCACCCCAGCGCGCGAGGTTAAAATAGGTACATCAAAAGACTTAGCAAAAGCGAGTAGAAGTCTGCAAAATTTGTGACTAGGATTGACAAGCAAAGTGAAAATATTATATGAATGAGAAGGGAAGGTTTTATTAAGGTAAAGGACTAGTGGTCTAGCTCTGCGTCTTGTAAAGGGGCAAAAGAATACTGTATGGTTAAGGTCTTGTCTAGGATCTCCACATTCACAAGCCGGAGACGGCACCATATTTTTCCTAAACAAGCTATAGTTGAGGTTGTAATGATTTGACCTTAATCTGTTAATCAATACTATTTCGCTCCTGGTGAGTTTCTTTTTGAAATACCAAGGTTTAACAGTCGTAGACGAGAAATATAACGAGTGGTAGTGAGCTCCGGTGTGAATAGCCTTGTCGTTCAAATAATCCGTGAAACGAACACGGGCCTTAGCTACTGCCTGAACCTGAAGATCTGAGTAGGGGGTACGGAAAAAACCTCTAGCTCCGTCAACACACGCCTCTTTGGCTGCCTTATCAGCCAGCTCATTGCCTAAGATGCCCTTATGCGAAGGAATCCAAAAGAGGGAACAGTCGATGTTATTGTGTTCCAATTGAAGCAGAGTTTGCTTTATTTTGTGGATAATATAATTACCGTTAATCAATCTGTGAGACGAGATGGCTTGTAGTACGCTGCGGGAGTCTGAAAAAATGTAAATCTTAGAATAACCCGCATCTAACGTCAAAATAAGGGCTTGATATATTGCCCAAGCTTCCGCAGTAAACACTGAGG